CCCCCCCCCCCCAATACTGCTTTGTAAGTATAAGGAGTTTCCAGTAAATGCATTGTGTGTTGTGAAATTCCCTCCATCCTCTTTTTTTGTTTGTTTTTAGGTTTTCTTTTATGGCTTCCCCTCAAAAACAAATGCACTAATCCGAAATGTTTTTCCACAGAACTATAGAAATATGTACAACATTCCTCAGTATGCTCTATACATGAATGACAGATTAACTATATGTTCAGCAGTGTTAACAGTGATATCATTTAGTAGTCAAAATATTTGACTCAGACCTTACAAAGCATCTTTACAACTCACTGTCTTTGCCACTTCACTTGTAAAGTGGTAGCTGTTGCATTTTCATCATCCTTGTTTCCATTAGAATTCCAGCATGTAGATTTAGGTGAGGTTGGAAGAGAGTTTATTCCAAGCACAGAGAAGCCCACATAATCTTGTCCTCATAGATGCACTATGTGCTAGTCAAGTGAAAGACTAAGAGAAGCAAAAAATTCCAAGGCTGAGTTCATTCCCCACCCCCTTTCATTTAAACTAATAAACTGGTGTGGAACACATGGGTTAACTGTTTTCCCTGAAATATTGTTTAGTAAATTAATTTTCATCTGAAATGATTCTTGTGTATTCACCAGTGGGAGATCATAAACAGTAAGGAAAGGTATGTGTGGGGCTTTTTTCTGATTGGTGTTGAAGATGTGGCTCTGGGAGGCGTGTGTACAATGACAAAACCCTCCTGTAACAGCGATGGAGTCTTTGCTTCCTTCTTTGTCAAGTAATTATTCATTTTTCCTCCTTTTTACTATAAAACCAAGCAGTGGCCTGGCTTCTGTGGCCAAAAAAATCCACAAAAATTCCTATTAATACCAGGATCCAGATTGTGTAAATGTAAGATTTTGTTTTCTCCCTATACACTGAAGCTATTTAATGTGTGTGTTTTAGAGGAGATAGGCTGAATATACCCAGTGATTCCCACTGTCTTGGGAAAACCAGAAATTTCTCATAAATAAGACTAATGGTAATACTGTGGCTAACTAAGTAGGTTTCTTAGAATTGAACTGATTTTTGGCATCTGGGTTAAAAAAATAGAAAAAGATTCTTTAAGATTCCTGGCCATTCAATGAAAGAAACAATGAGAAAAGTGTTTTAGCAAATTGAAAAGTGAAACTGTGCGTGCATGTAAACACGTTATTTATTTTTTCAGTGTATATCGAGTGTTTTATTGGATCCAAAATAAAGGTTCAGTATTTGTTTCTTACAATCAAATTAATTGGAAATAAACCATTTGATTTTAATAGCAAAAAATGGCATCTTAATAATATTAAACAAAAATTATTTAATTTTTAAGAGGAGTATTTCATGTTTGAATTAATTTTTTAATACAGATTTGAAATTAACTTTTTAGGTTCAACTGCATATGCAAAAAATAAAATTTGAGTTTATAAAGAATGCTTAAAAAAAAAAATCCCCCACTCTGCAGATTGCAGATTTTATGGTAAGCATCACTGTAGAGCAGCAGCATGAAATCTTTTTTAACTAGGGATATTGTCAACTTTGTGTCAAAAACTAGCTAACAAAGTACAAATGTGAAAGTGTCGTATTTGTGAATGTGAACATGTTGTTTTGCATATGCAGGTCCAGATTTATTCCACTTAATTTTAGGCACTGACCTTAGATGCCTTGCCACCTTAGAGCCTTCTCCAGTTACATCCCAAAGGGCCTCCAGCCCCTCGTATCACGGCCCTGCCCGTAGCCCAGGGCTGCCGTGACCTGAGTTGCCATCTCGACATCTTGCCCAGCTTTAAATCTTACTCGTGTAGGCACGTTGCATGTCTGATGCATTTTCTGGTCTCCTTTTAATTTCTCCTGTCCGTGGGCATGAATTTCTGAAGCAATTTAGAGCAAATTTCTGAGCAGCTTTAGTGTATGAGTGGGAAGGAAACCTCACCTTCAGGAGCTGAAGAGCATGGCTGGACAAGTCTGATTATTGTGTCTTGAGAAAATAGTGATGTGTATTTACAACTCGATGTGCTGAAAATGAAAACTAGCTTAATGTGAATGTAATAAAATTGAGTAATTGGTTTTTCTGGCCACTCTGACGGTTTGAGAAAATACCTGTTTGAGCTCTGCTCAGCCAGTTTTCTCCCATGCCAGATTTTGGAAGGGGTGCACGTGGTTATGCCTCCATGTGCTCTTCCCATTGTGCCCTGAAAGTCACTGCTGCCAGTTGCTGGCATTACTGGAAATGCAAAAATCCACCCTTTCAAATCCCATTTTAGATTAATTGGTTCAAGACTATAATTAAAGAGTAACTTGCCTGGAAAGACAGGTATGGTTTGGCCAGTAAGTTGTAGTTAATGTGAATAGAGATATGATAACAGTGAATATTTACACAGTCTCATTTGGGGTTGTGGGAAGCTGGAAGTCCAAATTGTTTATGAGAAGCCTTCTAGCTAGGGTTATCTTAGTAAGAATAACACCTTGAGGATCTATCCACATATTCATAAGTGTTTTTAGTAATTTCTGTCTAATCTATGTCTGCAAAATAGGATATTTAGAGGATACTGGGATGCTTGGATTTCCCAATTCAGACTACAGTGCTGTTTCTGGCTTACTATATACAGACTGCTTTATGTGCATTTGAGATATCTTCTTGGTAGAGAGAAGGGTGAGATAGCAAGGGAGTCAGGCACTTTGAAAATCCCCTGCATGACATTGGGCCTGTTTGGTGGTACAGAAGTACTGGTGTAGTCTGTCAGCAAAGTGCTGCCAGCATGGGTGAAACTGTACTGGCAAAAATGTATTTTAGTCAGGCCATCCCCAACAGGGTCAAAGTGCTACCCAGATGAAAGTGCAGCCTTGTTGGTGTGATTGCAACCACACCAGGAGCTTCCTAAGGCCCCATTAGGTCCAGCAGGGATTGCACCTATTTGTACCCCTGGCATCCAACAAGAGTCTGATGTAGACTTTGTCTCACTAAGAACCTCCCAATGTAAATTTAGATTCCTTACTGCTTCTTTCATAGGGCTCCTCGATTTAAGGGGTTCCAGCAGCAAGACAGCCAGGAGCTTCTGCACTATCTGTTGGATGCAATGAGAATTGAAGAAACAAAGGTAACGTTTTTGTGTGGGTTTTTAAAGAGTTTACTTGACTGTATAATAAACTAGGCTTTCTTTCAATGTTCTTCATGCTCCCCGGGTTTTAGAGATGTTCTTAATGAAGTAGCAGTAGCTTGTTTTGTTATCTTGAGAAAAATAATGACTTCTTGAAAGAGGATTTATTATGTTCATGTTGATACATTGAAACTGCTGATTGGAATAAAAGTTACAGTTTCAGAAAGATTATGGTGAGTAGATCATGATAACTTTGGGAATCTGAATTGTTTGCCTTTATTAACAAATAAAAGGACAAAAAAAGGACTTGTGGATGGTCAAGAAACTAGAAGTAGGGCTTCTGAAGTAGCTGACAAAGTGCGTTTCAGGGTGAAGCTTTGGGACAGAAATTAGCAGCTCCTAACCTGCCCATAATTTCCATTGGGCATATGGGTCTGCCCATAATTTTCATTGAAATCTATTTAAGTGAAAAAATTAGGACAAAAATAAAATATTATAAAGTTTCTTTTATCTCTTGAAAGTGTGAAGAACTGCTTGTTTTATAAATAAGGTGTTGCTTTTCATTATTTAAAATCTACATCCACACATGCCAAGTACATAACCTGTTATAGTAAAAAAAACAACCTAACCTGTGTGTGCTTTCTCTTGTGTTTCTTTTGCTATCTCTGCCTCCTGCAGAGGAACAAAAGGAAGCATGTGTTTGCTTGCTCAGACTATTTTGACCATATCAGATTTCATCTGCCTGATTTAATCTTGGACCATTCTTTTCAGATGATATTTTGGTAAATGGTGTTTTATAAGTCTCATCAAAAGGAGGGCCTTAAATTTCATACTGACCAGCGTATTTCGTCTTCCCTCTTATTCGGCAATGTGATGAATGCCTTGATCCTGAGCTGAATTATCCTGGAGATGAGACATAAAGCTGTTTCTGAGCCCAGTTCTTGGCAGTAGACTAGTGCTGAACAAATCTCCATCCCACCAGAATATTAATATATATTTGTCTTAGCAGTACCCTTGATCATAAGCAGAACTGAACTACAGGGAGAAACAACTAAACCTTGACTTTGTCACACTTACAAGATAAGGTGTTGAACAGGGCACACAACCGAAGCAGCAGACCTTAGTTAAAAAAAAAATTGTCTTGTTGTTTTAGTAGAGGGAGACTTTATTTTGTTGTTTGTTAATTTTCATGTAATAAAATGTGGAAACCATACACTGAGCAACTTCTCCAGTGGGTAATTGTGCTTTCCCCTCAAGTCAATCACCAGTTTCACCAGTGAATGTGCTATCTTTATGAGAACCTGCGTTTGTATTTGCCTTTCAAATAGTATTTTATTAGCAAGTGGTGACAGCTACAGTAGCTACTGCAAGAGTAATGGAAGGTGGTGAGAATTTTAAGTGACCTTTTGGGCAGTATTTCTGCTGCCCCCATCACCAGGCAGGGAGAGGTTGCTCTCGCTCTGGCCTGTAATTGCAGTAATGGTGCACTGACACAGAATCATAGAGCAGTTTAAGTTGGAAGGGACCTTAAAGATCATCTAGGGCCCCCTGCCATGGGCAGAGACACCTCCCACCAGACCAGGTTGCTCAAAGCTCCATCCAGCCTGGCCTTGAACACTTGCAGGGATGGGGCATCCACAGCTTCTCTGGGCAACCTGTTCCAGTGCCTCACGGCCTCATAGTGAAAAATTTCATTCTAATGTCTAATGTAAATCTCCCCTCTTTCAGTTTAAAACCATTACCCCTAATCCTATCCCTCCTGATAAAGAGTCCCTCCCCATCTCTCCTGTAGCCCCCTTTAGGTACTGGAAGGCCTGTATAAGTTCTCCGCAGAGCCTTCTCTTCTCCGGGCTGAACAACCCCAGCTCTCTACAAACATGTCTATATCACCTCAGGCAACTCCACCACAGACAGTACTAGTAAAAGCTCTCAGTCTTTTTTTTTTTTTTTAAATTTTATTTGATTAGCCTATGTTTCAGGTCTGTAGGTGGTGTGACAAATGGTGAACATCAGGCCCGTGGTGACCCCGCAGGAGCCCGGCAGCTGCCCTGTGGCCTCCCCACCATTCCAGCTCTGGCTGGGGACCTGTCTGCCACCACAGCCCGTGGCAGGGGTGACAGCCACTAACCTTCCTCTTTCACACCACTTGTATTCTTAGAGAGGGAACAGCCTGTGGGAGAGCCAAAAATGGCTGTCCCTGCTTCCCTGTCCCTACCAGGATTAGGTTGGTTTTTTAAACCTGAAGGGTTTTGATGAGAAATATGTCTGATACATAACATGGCACTATTTATAGGAACTAACAAAAAACCTCATTATGCTTTTGCCTCCTCTCTGTGGTTTTGTACCTTGTGCCCGACACCAGCATTGAACTTTTTTCCCTGTCCCTGCTGAAAAAAGTTAGAAAGCGTGTATGTATACAAGTGGGGTTTTTTTAAGATAAAAGCTTGTCAATACTACAATGAAGATGACATAGCGTCTGCGGTTTCCAGCAATGTGGGCCGGAGATGGTTTCACACCAGGGCCTGAAGTGGCTGAACCCTGCTGCTAATTGATTAATGTCTGCTGCCATTGTCCCCAGCGCCCTGCCCATTCAAAGACTATGTCTTTCTTTGACCTAAATAAATGGTTCAACGCGCTAATCCCAACAAAAGGGTTGCTTATGGCCCTAAACCCATTTATGGTGCTCGACTTCATGAATTACCTATTGATTAGTCCTTTTAGTATATTGTTGGCTTTAAGATGGACAAAGCTGAGCTTGGGGCAGCGGGAGTTAATTCACAAGCCAGGTCACATACTCATGAGGTGGGAGTATGACTTGGTCTGATGGGTGCCTGGACTGGAAACCGAACCTCCGACGCAGCGTAATACATGGCTTGCAAGTGTTATCTGCTGCCTGCAAACAAGAGTTATTTATGATTCTTTTCCTGTTAGGACACAGGGTTTGGGTTACTTGCAGAAGGTTTGGTATCACTGTTTGTCTCCAGGATGGTGCTTTGCTCTAAGTGTGACTTCAGTGATATGTGTCGTCGTAAATGTCGTTTGCCCACTGACATGAGAGACCCGTACAGGTTACTAGAGTGTTTGGATTAGAGAGCCAGTGTGTTTTCCAGGAAGAAGGGATCATGCAGGCTGCCGTGCTCCCTGGTCAGCTTCCCAACCAGGGACTGGGCTGAGCCACCCTCGTGACAGCCCCTGTGGTTCTGCTGCGGGGGTTCACCTCTCGGGAACAGCTGAGAAATAGTGGGGGCAACACCCTGTGTTCACCTGTATGACTTTTCTTCTTTCAAAAATGTCATTTTTTAGGATTTTTTTGAGCAAGCATTGATGACATTTATATGGATTTGTAAAAAGTTTTGTATCTCTCCTAAGGTTTTCTGACATAACTTTGAAATGCGCGGTGTTAGTAAGTAAACAGAAGTAATGAAAATGCTGCCCAAACACAGGCATTGAAATCTGGCTAGTGGAAGATACTTACCTGACTTCAAGTATTTTGTATTCTAGCAAACAGTAATAGTCCGTTTTTCTTAAGCATTTCTCCACCCCCACACCCTCAACAGTGGAAGAAATGGAAAGTATTTGTTCACTGAAAATCTTACAGTTTCTTGATAACCTCTCGTGTGCTCTACAACAGCTCCCTTTTTAAGGGGAGGAAATTTTTCAATGATTACCTACCAAAGTTAAGCTCATATAGCTTTGGTACTGTTTGTAACAACAGTAGTTTTAAAATATTAAATTAAGCTTATTTTATGGAAATACGAGTAGATAAAATCTAATCATATATCAATACTTTTTAGAACGTTCACACTTAAAATACTTTCTAAATGTTTTGTTTGTTTTTTAATTATAGCGTATACAAACTGGTATCTTAAAAGCATTTAATAACCCAACTACTAAGACAGCAGATGAAGAAACTAGAAGAAAAGTCAAAGGTATGCAACTCTTTATTGAATACTCCTAAAAATGCACAGATTTTTAAATACCATTTTCTTCAAACTTGACTATTGCAAGCACCAATCCCCAAGTCCTGTAGTACAAGACTTTAATTATGTGTTATTCTAGTGCCACCTAGTGCCTATATAAAAGATAAAGAGCTTAGTATGTGCTCTTTGCATCTTTGCATCCAGGATAAAGTGTTCCCCTGTATTAATAACGCCTCTTGTAATAATAGGTAGAATTTAATTTTGTTTTCTAAAATAGTTTGCTGCATCTTCGGGTTTGTTATGTAGCCACAGTCACTGTATCACTCAGAGAGGCCACTTTCCATAACTAAAACTGATTTCTGTCAGCTGGCCAATACTGCGAGCACTCTAAATACGATTGTAAACCAAGATAGGAAGCTGTTTCCAAAGAAGGCACGTTTTTTTCAAAATGAGCATTTTTTAATTAATTCATGTGTGTATTTATGCAAAAGTGCTAATTTTGGGGATTTTGTTTCAATTAAAGTCTTAAAAATCATTAAGCAATGATCAAGGCAATATGATATTATGTATTCCAAAGAAAACTGAACTTATATTTAAAAGGCTTCTGCTTGAGAGATACAGTATTCTTATTCTATTACAGTAGGTGGGGAAGGGAAAGATAAAAGGGAATCATATCACTAAAATATCTTGAAATGTTGAGATAATACAGTATATGATGTATTATTGTATTGTGTTCAAAATGTTTTGAATATGTTTAAAATTGTGCTTTCACAATAAATCTTAGAATTTTGTTGTACTTATAGTGTGGCATTGGGTCTGTTATTTTTCACATTTAAAAAAGGCAATGTTTTTTCAGCGTATGGAAGAGAGGGTGTGAAGATGAACTTCATAGATAGGATCTTTGTTGGTGAATTGACTAGCACTGTCATGTGTGAGGAATGTGAAAATGTAGGTATTCTGGAATTTGGTTTGATGTGGAATAGATCACATACTGGTTTGATTATGTTGTCTTGAAAGTATAAAATTGTATTGCCAATTTTATACTTGTTTGTTTGTTTGTAAAAGCAAGACTTTATTGAAAGTTTCTCATTTAAAATGATTTATTCCTTCTTTAAAGCATTATCCTCCGCAAACCTAAGAAGAGGGGTCCCTTGAATTCAAAAAAGATTCAAGTACTGGGCTTGATTTTACATCTGGCTTAAGGCTGGAGGTTCCAAATTCTATAATCTTTCATGTAACACCTCAATTTTATTTGATGTTTTTGAAACACTTACCTATCTTAAAACGTAAATCCTCCTGCCTACTCCTCTGGGATACACCTGAAAATTGGGAATTACTTACTTTGCATTAGTATGAGTGGGGAAATGCTAAAATTACTTTTTTTTAATTGAAGTGTTTTTGATAATTAACGTAATAACTCTAATGAACAGCATATTCCTTTCATAATTAATATTACTGACATTTCATCATAAATGCTTTCCATGTTCCTTATGATTTCTCTAACTTTGGAAGAGAAAAATCTTATTTGCATGACTTTTCTAATTGAATGTTACATTTGTGTTTGGTTTAAAACATTCTATTTCATATTATAGAGATTAAGTAAATGAATCAGCCTGACAAATTAAGCACAGTCCTGCAGTGCCAAGTAAACTTCCCTCTGTGTGATGTGCAGATAACACTTCAATGTGCTACTAGTATCAATGAAGAACTTTGACTCTATACGAAATAGAAGTTGTATGCATTTTGTGTGTCCCATTTATTTTTGCTGGATTCTTATATTCTGCCTGCAGAGGGCTCAGGAATTTGCCAGCTGAAGCCCTTTGAGGAAGAGCTTAGCATTCACTTCCCTTTGCTTGAGTCGACAAAGATATTTTTACTAGTGTTTGTTCATGCAAACTCAGTCTGTAGAGGAACCCCTGTTTGGACGTGGCTCGTCAGGGAGTCAGTCATCAGAGTTACAATAGTTTTTTGTTCTCATTAATTGCTTTACTGGAACCTAAACCACGCTGAGTCCCTGCACAAGAGGTAAAAATAAGCCTACAGTCCATATTAAATGTCGCAGGTGGAAGGACAGGGTCCCAGGTGTAAGAGAAAGGGCAACGATGACAGTGATTGAGGGCATGATTGTGTTTAGTAACTTACATGTACAACATGATATTTATATATTTTTTTAAGGCCTTGTTTTTCAATCTTCCCAGAGGTAAGATAAGTCAGTTTTGGAAGGAATTTGGTGACGACAAGAGAGAGAGCTTAAGGAACAGGCTTGGACAAGACGTTCTAGTCATAAAGGCAGATGGAAAGTGCTGAGAGAGAATGTCTTTTAGGTATGATTTGCCAGATATTTCCAGTTTCAGCTTAGATTTTGTATGGCTTATAGATGGCAAAACAAAACTTCAGGACAGAAAAGAAAGTTGGGTACTTTCCAATCCCCTTTTCCCCAGTAATTGGATTTATTTTAACAATTACTAGTGTATGTTATGGCTTGAAATTTTCTAATGAGGCTTTTGGCTGTAACCAGTAAGCCTGACTTAATCTTTTCTGAGAGCGTCAGGTTAGAACCTGTCATCTAACCGTCATTAACCAGTCCTTGCTGCTTAACAGTGTACGTGGTCAGACGCCTGCGCAGAAGTTGTCCCAGGTCAGGAAACTCTACAGGTTTGCTTTCTGCAGAACTGTACCACCATCTGGAAGGCCCACATGACTTGAAAATCTGTCAGGAGCTCAGAGAAACTGAGCACCGCAACCTGCGTTCAGGTCCAGTTCGTGCCCAGATGAATGGCTTTGCCCTTTATGTCCGTATGATGAAATTCGTGCAGTGTTAGAAAGAAAATCAGAACTAACTTAAAATCTGGAAAAAAAAAAAAAAGTTTCTGGGAAGTTCTTCATTGTATTTTGCTACATCTTGTAACTAATTAGCTTTTTTGTATAGTTTCTGATAACGATTTGATTTAAAAAAGGGGGCTATGTGCTAAACCCATATATTCCTCTTTGCTTTTAATATGCATTTTCTCTTTTTCTTCAAGATTTCAACAGTAAAAGAACCTTTCATTGATCTTTCACTTCCTATAATAGAGGAGAGGGTAAGAAACAGAATATGTACTAAATAACTATTGCTTCCAGTGGATTTTTTTTACATACCTTTATGAAGATGTTTATGGATATACACAAGAGTTTTAATTTGAAGCCTGAAAATGTATGCGTGTCTATGAATACTTCTACCATCATACATCTGTTCATTATTTAATTTTATTTATATATATATATAGAGAGAGAGAGAGACATACAATGTTGTAAGTGCATAGATTTTTAAATTAGTTCAAACTTGGAACAACTGGGCATTGTAATTTACAGTATATGTGGGTCTAAGATTAGCTTGATTTAGTAGTATTTTTAGGATATGTTTATATGAATAGAATTATTATAAATTTTTTTTTAAGGTCCAGAAAGTTAGATTCTCACCTATTTGCATCTAGAGAAGCTGAGTCCCTCGGGCTGAAGTGTACCTATGGGATGAGACAGTGTAAAGATGGATAGACTTTGAATACATTTATTCTGGTGTTTTCGGCATTTTGCAGAAGGCCTCTGTTAGCTGCAGAGGAACTGTGTTCCTTTGAATGTGTACACTCTGGTCTTGCAGGACTTGGGGTTTTCATTTGAGAGCAGAGGGGGGGTGGGTTGGGAGTAGTTCTTCCCCTATCTTGCATACATTCATGTCTATTTAAGGGAGAGTATTTAATGTAATATTTAATCCTGTATAAAATGTGCTTGTCTCCAAACACCAGTTTTGTGCCTTACTTTATGGTCATCTCTTTCACGCTGCTGTCAATAACGTGATGGAGGATGTGCACCATCTCCTTCGTCCCATCTTAAGGGGGTGGGCTGCCTGAGAGACTGACTTCTGGGGAGCTATGTCCCCTTTGATAAATTCATATCTCGTACAGCTCCGCACGTGTTTATACAATACTAGAATAGGTTAATTGGTCTGTATTCTCTACAGGAATTCTGTATCATTCCTATTTCTTGTGGCTCTCAGTTGATACTTCAAAGGTGTTGACAGTGTGTTCATGGTAAAATTAGAAAGTAGTCTTATACTGCAATTCAGTGGCCAGTTAATTGGATTTATGTAGGTTACTATTTTCTAAAGTAAAGGAAAAAAAACCCATCTACATTGACTTTTTCTGTAAGTTGCAAAGGAATACAAAATTGGCATATTTCCTTGCCTAATTTCCTGTCTAATTTCTTAGGTTGCAAAACCTGTGCCTTTGGGAAGAACAGGTAAAGGTAAAAGTGTACAAGAGGCAGATCTTGCTCAGTATAACTGTTCTTCTATCCCTACACTGAATAATCAACCCAAAATTGTCAAGAAACACACTTTAACAAAAGATAAGGTAAGAACTTAAATATTCGGACTAACCAGTCACCTTGAGTTTATTCTGAAGTTTCTAGGGTTGCAGGGTTGGGAATTTTGACATCTATCAATGGGGGGTCTTTTTGTATACATATAGCTGACAGTGACTTGTTTTAAAATATTTAGGTCATTATTAGAAGTGTGAGAAAGGGCAGCCATAGAATCATAGAATTGTCTAGGTTGGAAGGGACCTTTAAGATCATCTAGTCCAACCATCAACCTAACTGATAAAAAACCATCACTAAACCATGTCTCTGAAGTAATTTAGACAGTCATTGGGAACCATTTAGGTTTTAGTTTACAGGGTTTCGTTTGTAAGGAAAGAAATATAATTAAATCTGCAAGTTAGTTTCAGTTCATGTTTCTTTTGGGTTTTTTGACTGCTTTTCTTTTGGGACCCTCGTAGTTTGTCCCTGTTTGCAATCACAGGAGCTGTAAATGCTGGCTCAGAGAGCAGGTGGGTCTGCCCTAGTGCCGTCCCAGGGATTAGCTGGCAGTGGGTACAACAGAAATAGCCCGGCCAGGAGGGACTCTGGGACATGGAGAGCAGGGTTTCCATGATCCACTTGGCCTTCAGCAGCCCTGGGGCCGGGGGGCTCGATTCAGCCCCTCTCCAGTGCAGCCTCCTAATACGGTTCTTCCCAATGGTAGCAACAGGGCTCTGCAAATATTCCAGCCTCACAGAAGCAATTATTTGTATGTATTAGTGTCTAGAGATTAAAAGAAATCTGTAATACTTACTGTGCACATATATTATTGTTAGTGAAATGTGGCGAAGGCTCTCATTGTCATTATTGTCATATAAATGACATCGTATGTCATATACTGTCACTATCAACATCCTGGTTTTTAATAAGCCTTATTATCCATAGAGGGTTATGTGGCCAATTAGAATCTTAATAACAGTGTTAATACTGATACATAAAACACAATTACTGAAACGTTTTCAAAATAATGAAATAAAATATAGTATGGATTCAATAAACTAGATTAGGCAGACGAAGGGAAGCAACAGCTCTGCTTTCAACAAGAACGAATAAAGTGACCTATGAAGTGTGTCTGTCTAATTGGTGAGGCTTTGTGATTCTCCACTCCCCCTCCATCTTTTCAGACATGGATTTATCACTATTTTAGTCTCTCTTTCTCTAAAATTATTTTCAGTGTAATATATCTGTTCTGAAGGAAAGCTTCTAATCCAAATCAAACAATCCTTGAAATCAGTCAGTGTTTGTTGATGTTCTGTGACTTCAGTTCATGGGTTTCTAAGTTCACTTGGGAAAAGGGAGGGTGTCCCGTGGGTGGTTTTGTAGGCAATGGAGAACCTGAATGCTCCTTTTTGGGCTTTTCTCCTGAAATGGGGACCTTCACAATTTTAATAATTTTGTGACTGCTGTTTGCACAGTACCCCTGAACACTAGCCATCATTTCAGACAAGTTCTTCTCCCTCTTCTCTATTTATAAAACACGCTTAACTGAGGCAAGAAATGGTCCTAATGGAAAACAGTTTGGGGGATTTCTAATGACTTTTATTGGGATTTTATATTTTTTTTTTTCTAAACTGCTCACTTAAAAGTTTAAGGACTTGAATTATGAAGTCATATATTTAGTGTAGGTTTAAGCCCTGATTAAGAAAATATTCAGGAATATTTTGTCATTCATGTGATCTTCATTTGGACTGAGTTTTAAACTTTAAGCAAGAACTTGAGTAGGGATGTTTCATTTAATTCTAAGACAAGCACCGACAAGGTGAGTTGAATTTTTCTCTGGAGGTGCTCATTGGCTCAGGCCTCTGATGGGAGTTTAGGGGACTAGCTTAAACTCGAGAACCTTTTAGAAGCTTAAGTTAGATTAAGAGAATACCACTTCAGATGTGCCATCCCCAGCTGTCACAAAGTGAATGTAATTAGTTGTGGGAAGTATTGATCTCACAGTAAGTATAATGCTCTTAGCTGACTGGGGTGTACGTTTCTAATCCTAAATCGGTTTAAAAAGATCTTAAGGAGATCAACTAGCTTAACCGTATGAGAGGTGGAGAATATCAATTAATAGATTTAATTTGAATTTGTTACGTTTCAAAAGCTATCTTAGATCACAGATCTGTTTTCTGTTTCTCCCCTGTATTACTGAACTAACAATGCCATGATTTACAGAATCAGTTGAACCAGGAGAGACGGCTTGCCAGAAAAGCCTCCTCTCATGAAGAAGAACAAAGCCCCGTTATCATGCAGGAAAAAAACAAAAAGCTGGAGGTGGAAGGTAGCTCTGGCATCCCCTGCTCCAAAGACACAGGTGCTGACTGGGCTGTGAACGGCAGCCAGACAGAGGGCAGCGAGAAGGAAGCCACCCGCTCCGAGAGCAGCTTCGACGCAGACAGTGAAGCCTCAGAAAGTGAAAGTGCCTCGAAGCACACAGCTCTCAGCCCCTCCAGCAACGTGTCTGGTTTGCACAGCAACCACGTAAATGCCAAAACACCGCACAACAAACCCAGCGAGGGGAACGACGAGGTGATTTCCAGTGCCATGTCCAAACTCAGCTTCTGCGATACTATAAAGGAAGAGAAAAAAATGAGCCGCGGGGACCCGGCGTTAGGTTTATCCAACAATTCCGTCTTCTCGGTAGACAAATCCCCACTGTCCCAAAACCCTCAAAACGCTTTCCAGACGCTTTCCCAAAGCTACATAACTAGCTCAAAGGAGTGTTCTGTTCAGTCCTGCCTTTACCAGTTCACCTCTGTAGAGCTCCTGATGGGGAACAACAAGCTTTTATGCGAGAGCTGCACAGAAAGGAAACAGAAGTATCAGAAGAAAACCAACTCCACAGGTAAAGTGCTTGTATCAATCCTGACACAACAAAATTGCCTCTCAGCACCTGTGTTTCATTGTGCCAGCATGAGCTTCCCCCTTGTGGATAAATAGAAAATGTCTCCCCAAGCAGAGCTTGCTTATAATAAAACTTCATCCTGCGAAGGCATCAAGACTAAATTTTATATTAGAATGTAATCGTAGGTGTAACTTAGAATTATTTTGCATCTTTTCTTTTATTTTATCCAAGATAAGTAATTTAAAGATGACCACAAACTGAATAGGCTCATCATTTGATACTAATCTTTGCTGCTGTTTCTGTTCTTTACAATCCCAGAACCTTTGAAATAAATATATAACATATAATATTGAGCTCTAACAACTTATATACTGGGGGACGGCATGTAATTAAGTATGTCAGAGGGGCAAAAAAAAAAGACACTTGTAAAGAAGAAGGAAGAAAAAACTACAAAGACTTGTAAGAATGGAGATGAAAGAGAATTGCCTTCTTGTGACCATGTTTTGCTTGATGTTTGTATAGCCCAAGCAGACCATTAGGGGTCACTGAGTAAGAAAAACAATTTAAATATAATGAAAAATAAACTTTTAAAAAGGACTGGAGGATTTTTTAAAATGTGTAGTAATTCAGAAAGATAAAAAAATATAAGCCCTTCTGATTATTTGTAAATAAAATACAAAGAGAAGTCGTAGAGTAACAAAAAATTGCCTGTTTGCTGTGCGTTTATAGATATCTGGAGAGATAAAAGTTAAGCATGGATAATTCAGAAAAATTAATCAAAAATATTTTATAGTAATTTATTTATCATGATTGGACTGAGTGTAAGCGCTATATAAATAATATTTTGCTTCCATGGGCCTAGTGAAAAATGGAGAGGGAAAATCAATTCATAATTAATCACTATGGGTTTTTTTCCTTCTAAAACAAAAAATGTAAGAAGTCACCTACTTTTACTTGAAATGCTCCATTCTGCCTCAAATGAAACATTTTCTTTGGACATGTGTAAACCCAGTAAATTCATGAATTATTCAGTGAAGGAAGTGCTTTTACTGTGGAGCTAGCCACGGAGCTGGTTTTGGTCAGAGGCCCAGATTGAGTTCCCTCTGCACCGTGGGGGGGATGAGAGGCCACATTTCCCAGGCCTGGGTGCTGGTGCCAGCAGAGTGTGGGGCATCCTAAAGTAGACACCCCCCCTCAGGCCTTTTTCTTAAATAAGCACAAAGTATCTAGCCATTCAGAAAGAACTGAAGAATGTAAAATTAATCTCTATCTTAGCGGGTAGGACATCAGCACGGATGAAGAGACCCGTGCCTTCCCTTTCTTGATCATTTATTTCAGGTGAAATGGCTTTAACAGGGAAGTTGGGTGCTATAGTAAGGGACAGTGTAGGTATCTCAGCCTGCAAGCTGACCTAGATAGTGTACAGGCTTCCAACTTTTGATCTGATTTGTGTAGGACAGGTTAAAGTAACGCTCAGATGTAGCAGATGATGTTTCTTAAAAACAAGAAAAATGAGAGAAAAATTTTGCGTTGCTCCACAAAATTTCCCTTGGATTTTATACAACATGTACAAATTCACTGCAACATAGATCTGTTTCTATCAGATGTTTAAAAAAGACTCAAATTCTGTGTGACTGCCCCACTTTACATATTATTTTGATATTCATAAATACAGAAAAGAAAATGGACGGTGTCTACACAAATGCTCGGAAACAGCTGCTGATTTCTTCAGTTCCTGCTGTTCTTGTTCTCCATCTGAAAAGATTCCACCAGGTAAAAGGCTAAAACCCTCTTGTGTGTCTCTCTGCCTCGCTGGTGGACAAGCAATTCTTTTAAGTGTCATTGTGCATACCAATATTTGCTTTTTATATGGGGAACTGGTAGAACCACTATTGGAAACAGGCTTATTTTTTTTTGACTGACTGTTACCTTCAAGAGCGCATTTAGGCAGTATCCAGGGAAACCTCTCACGTGTCCATCATGCTTATGTGTAGCAGACACTGTATTGAAAAAATAACAAAGAATGTTTAAATCAGTTTCCATCTTATTCTTGGGTTTGGTGTCTTTTAATGGTATAGCAATGCACCTTAGCTCTAAAAAGCATCCTAATAAAAATATTTCATTTACAGCCTTTTTTTTTCTTTTCTTTTCTTTTGAAGGCTGGTTTGAGTCTACGGAAAGTAAATAGGCATGTGGATTTCCCACTGATTTTAGACTTAGCACCATTTTGTTCTGCATCTTGTAAGGTACCAATTTCAAATATTTATTTTTATTGTACTTCAAAAGTTGTTGTCCTGAGCACAAGTTAAACTGGATTGATGATGATGAGGATGATGATGAGGATGATTACTGTTCCTTCCTTTCCAAGAGAAATTATAGAGTGAATGTTTTCAAATAGTATCCTGAGACCAGAATTGTAACTCATTGAACTTCCATTCGCATCAAGACTATCACAGATGTTAACTAGTACTCATTAAGCTATGGTGCCCTGCTGGTGTTAGTGTATCTAACAGCATTAAGGACAAGTATTGCTGCTTCCATGGTAACTAATTCAATTCATAGACTCCTGAGTATTTTTAATAGATGTATTTCGCCATTGGAAATGCTGTAGATGTCTGGTTGCTTCTTTTAAGGTAAAAGCTAGTTGAAAAGCTGTTGTAAGCTAGTTAAGGTATCTGTAAAACTCACTGTGAAATAATTTCTCTGTGTTTTCTGTGTTTCTGGGGCTGCAGAACGTGACGGATGGTGCAAGAGTGCTGTACAGCCTGTATGGAATAGTGGAGCACAGCGGGTCCATGCGAGGTGGTCATTATGCAGCGTATGTGAAAGTCAGGACACCCTCCAAGAAATTGCTAGAGCATATTTCTGCCACTAAAAGCGTTCTGGGTATGTACAAACAGAGCCTCCTTTCTCTGGGATTAAAACCAAAAGCAACCACTGGCCACAGCTCCCTATCCTTAAGGGGATTTGTAGCAAGTAACTATTTTAGCTCAGAATATTCTGTTATTTTTAGGGCTGCATAAATCAATTCTTTTTTTAATCTGTTACACCCCGTACATGACCTACTTCTGTGTTAACCCCATGTAGAGCTGAGTGAATAATGGAATTTTGGTCCCATTATTAAACAGAATTAGTGGAAAACTCTTCTCTCTTTCCTAGTTAAAATAATATGCCCAGATGAATAGCTGCACCTGTTAAAATATAATTATTTGGCATATTTGGTATTTGAAAATGTTCTAATACAGGAGCCAAATCCATGACAATTTAAATTCAACTTTCCATATGTTTGAGCATTTTATCTATATTAGGATTGGAAAATTTTTAAAAATCTGGAATACTCTGGGTTAATGTGAAGGGTAAGAAACTTTTTCATGGAGAGTATGAGGTTTGCTGTAGGGTTTCCGTTGGTATTTTGAGAACAGCACACTAGTTCTTATGACTAGGTTTTGGATATGCAGAATGAAATAAGATTCTAGGATACAATCTGTTTGTGAATGATTTGTGGAAGCAAGAATGTTGAGCTGGCAGAGTAAGATAAATATATTTACTGTTTCCCTTCATGGAAGGAGTGAGAACCAAGCACTGTCCCGTCTGTCCTCTGTAGTATCCTTTTGCATTTGAAGCTCATTTTCCAGCTTTTAATATTATTATTTCCAGCTTTTTAATATTATTTGCGAAAAGGAAGTCTCCCTCAGTCTTGTGGTTCCCTTGCAATAATTGTTAGAACAGATTCGATCTTTTTGTCTTTTTCATTTCATACTGGTCAGCTGTTGAAATACTGTTTTATTTCTATGTCAGGACCAGTTGTGCACTGGTGTAACTTACTATTAGAACTCAGGGAGCTGTACTTGAAATGTCTGGGCTATTTGAAAAAATAAGAAAAAAGCAATGGCTGCATACAGTTTTAAGCATTGTCTTCCACCAGTTTCTCTTACAGAACTCTTTGACATGTAAATTTCAAACTACAAATACTAGACTGCATCTAAGTCACGAGTTATTCTTGTGGGTTAGAAGCTTCTCTTGCTTTTTTAAATATCCACTGTAGTTGTTTGATGATGATGTGAGGGACAAGAAACAACTCCTTTTGCTTTTGCATTTCAGGTTTAAAGGAAGCCATGGGAGCATCAGGAGGACAGTGGGTGTATGTTAGTGATGCCCACGTTCAGATGGTTCCAGAATCAAGAGTACTAAATGCACAAGCATATCTACTTTTTTATGAAAGACTATTACTATAATTCTCCACAGTTTAATTTAAAAGATGATAGTGGTTATTTAGTTTATCTTATTTAAAGCTGCAGTGGTAAGAGTACCTGTAAATATTGTGCCTTTATCTTGTAGAGAATTTATCGTATGTCGACTCTGAAGTTCAGTCACGCGATTATATAAATACCTGAATGGTTCTCTTAAAGTATGCACTTTGCCAAACATGTAAAATTCCTGGATTCATTAAAATACAGTACCGTTAGAATGTAAGATGACGTCCTATCCTACTGAGGTCTATGGAAAAGTTTGCTCTTGATTTTAATAAGCTTTCACCTGTTGTTCTAGAACAGTTGAGAATAAAAATGCTGATAGCGTTAAGTGCCTGGATTTGCTGGTGTACAGTAAGAATATCAAGTATTTCAACTTTTTGGGGTCTAGTCTGGATCCTTCCTGCTGCTGGGCTGGATGTCAGCTATTCAGGATTTCTGCAGAGAAGAACCTGTACAAATCATGCCACTTCCAGGCGTAGTGGTTGGAGAGCACAGCACTTCCAGAGCGTTTGAGTAACAGCAGCTGGGGGTTGCTGAGGTGCCTTTTCCCAACAGAGCAGGGAATAGCCTGGGAGATGGGGGCTCCCACAGAGAGACAGTGGATCTTCAGTCCCCAGTCCCCCCTCAGCCGTCTCCAACTGGCACTGGTATAGCAATGTACTCCTCTTTTAATATAAATATATACTCAGTGTGCATACGTATATCCTCTGAGGTATAGATATATATATGCACACCATAAATCTGTCAATATATATTGTCATTTTACCTACTAGGAAAGAGAATTGCAAATACTTCTGTATTTAGTAAATTTTCAACTTCATAACGATGACGACGTACAGCGTGTAAGCTTGTGTATGAGTACCTACGGGGTTTACGTGTAACCGGGCAATTCTGTTACTTCTGCTTCTAAACATGAATTTGTTTATCTGTTCCTGGATACTTTTCTCACAGGAGTAATAAACTATAAATTATTTTTGCACTGTGTGTGTGAGTTGGACAGTAAATGATGACTTTTGCCCTCCGATACACGTCTGGCCTTCCCTTTGTCACCGTGGAGGACAGCGCGTGGCCTCGTGGCAGAACCTGTTCCTGTACCCAGTTTGACTGCACAGCTTTGAGTTGTCCCTTCTCTTCCCATTTTTCATTTCCAACCCAGAGAGTAATAGGTACATTTTAAGGTCAAAATCTGAAACTCTGTGTTAATTCGTTTCTTTAATAAGCAGTTACTTAAATACAAATTAACTTTCTTAACAGTTCCGTCCTGTCCAACTTGCTCTTTCATAGAGAAAAGACTGTGTTTATTTCTGCTTACTATTTATGTAGGGAAATGTTTTTTTGGTGAAAAAGCGTGCTATCCCAGCCACTCTCTCTGCCACGTGTTGTCACACCGACTTGCACGACTTTCCTATTCTCTAGTTCTGTTTCAGACCTTCACCCCACCTGCATTCACTCCTCTACGTAGGAAAACAGCAAGACCTGCCATAGTTGCATTTGCTCAGACCACTGAGGTATGTGTTTTACAGGCAGGAGGGACTGTTGTACAGGGACAGTGGTAGCAGGTGAGAGTGGTTTATAAATCCATTAAAAGGCTGAAATGTCCTTAACTTCATCATTTGCTTCTCTTTGCACTGCTTTTTATACTGACACACACCAAGTCATACATAGACGTGACATTAATGCACCTACGCTCTCAATCCATTATAAAGATCTTAGTTGAACATATTAGTAACAAGCTCAGATGTGGAAAGGAATAACTTCTTGAGGAGAAACTTTAAGATTTATTAAAATGGGAACAAAGAAAGCGTTTGAATACAATTTCTTATGTTAGCAAAAATTAGCAAGCCCAATTTTAATTAAAAAGTGGTGGCATACTTCACGAAGCAGCTTCACAGCAGCCCTGATTAAACAAAAAATTGATATTCCTCAGTTTTCATCAGCTGGAAACTTTTTTTTTGTTGTGCCCTGTACACATTTGTGCATCTGTACAAATATTTAGACCTTTACATGGAAGAAATGCCGCTAATAATAAAACCATTTCATTCTAATTATTTTAGGGTGGGTTGGTTTTGCTTCTGTATCTACTTACTGTGTCTTAGGATGTCATTTTGTCAGCTGCTTTAGCTGTTTGTACCTATTCAAAATTATTCAAAATCTACTTTTTTGGTGAACTGAGATTATAAAATAGATTTTTGGGCAGAAGCCTGTTAGTTCAAGTCAAAACACTTCCTTTGCACAACATCATATAAAAAGTCCAAGTGAATTTATTTGTTACAATAAAACAACTGCAGTGCATTGTAACTACTTTAAGACTACTTGGTCAACATTCCGTTTATAAAAAGTTATAAATAATTCTGTCTTCATTGATATTAGTAGAAAAACTATTTTAAGTGTTGAGAATGTTTATTTTATCTATTGCAGCTTCCAGTATTTTTCTAGTACAAGATACAAAGGTGCAGTACTGCATTTAAAAGAGAATAGAAAAGCATTTATTTTGAGTAGTTTTATGTCTTCTTAACACTTATTGCTTTGCTAGGTTAGCTGTTTGGGGTGAGCTGTGTAACCTGGGGATCGTTACAGCGAACTCTGTAATGAAACCACCACATCAGCGGCAGCTGTTCCCTATTTAGCCATTTCACAAAGCTGAGTTCTGATTCTGCTGTCACTTACGCATGGCAATAATCCCTGATATGTTCATATGTGCTTGCACTTACACAAAAGACAATCCAAGTAATCAAAAAACCACCGTTGCTAAGCTAGAAATACTTGTGAGCTTCAAGCATGTTAACCGTTTTGTTTTGTTTTCATTCATGTACTTTTTTCATCTGTTTGAACACATAGTCTGCAGCTATTTAAATAATAATATTTTTATAATTTCACTATGGTACAGATACATTGCACGCTTCATTTGTAGATTTTTTATTCCAAATATTACTAACTAAACAGGGCCTTAAACACAGACTGCATTTAAAAAAAAACAAATGAAAGTCTGATCAGTTTTCCAACCTATCCTAGACGCTTTAACAAGTTTCTCAAAATAAAGCTGCCATTTATCTTCTATTCATTTTGTCTTAACATCTATGGAATATATTATTTGATAAATGTATCAATAAAACATCCAACCATTTGGAAAACTGTATTGTTTAAATATAAGCGCTGTGTTGTACAATTGAGTTTGCAAAGCTTCCCTTTTTTTTTTTTTTCCTTTCTCAACTAAAGAAAGAATATTTTTTCCATTTGTCTTGTGTCACAATTTCGCTGCTCTTGGAAGAGCTCTGAGTGAAGTGAAGAGAGAATCACAGAATGATATGGGGTTGGAAGGGACCTCTGGAGATCATTTAGTCCAACCCCCCTGCCAAAGCAGCTTAAAGCTTGCACATCCATAAGTACCACTCCAGGGTTCCAGCTGTGCATCAGTAGACGCTGGACAGAGTTAAATCTTCCAAAACACTTCTGTCCATGGGAAGCATCCTTGGTCCAGCCACTGCGACACAAAAGGCAGAATCACAGCATCACATGGGGTTGGACGGGACCTCTGGAGATCATCTAGTCCAACGCCCCTGCCAGAGCAGGTCCACCCAGAGCACAGGAACATATCCATATTCAGAAGTCTAGAGCGCTTCAGTGAGCAGTAATATGTGGTGTAAGTTGCACCAACAAATCTTACAAGGAAAGCACTACATGAAGGAAAGCACAAGTCTCTCCAAGCTTTCGATTTGCTATAGATTTATGTAAGTTGTTCTGTGACTCTGTGGGTATGAGTGTTACTGTATGCGATGATGGAAGAGATGACAGACGGTTCAGGCATGTACAGCAGATGATGCAGGAGGCTGGCAGGGAAGTGATGGCAGGGGTAAGCAATGTGCTGCCTCATGGAAAGCTCTCTTCCACAATGAAACAGAGCGACCGAGTCCGTGTCTCTGGAACCAGCCCCAGCGCCCCGGCAAGAAGAGCTACTTAACCACGGATGATTCTGGTTGATCTTCATGCGTCAATACACGGTGATAACTTCAAGGCAAATCTCACGGGAACTTGAAAAGTTAATTTGGGCGTTCTGAATAAACCACTTAAAAGAATCGCCCTGCTCCATGGCGGCTCCAGCTGTGCACACACTGACCCAACTGACTTAGAACCCTGACACCCCGCAGCTCCACAACGTATAAGTGACTTATAGATCCCCGTGCGGCATGACTGCCTGGAGCTACATCCACCTCAGGGGGCAACTTTGTGCGCTCCTCCCTGTCGGCCCCACAGTGGGGCCTGCCATCACACTCCACGGCCTGCACTGACCCGCAGAGGCCGAGCTCAGAATCACAGAATCACAGAAGCTTCTAGATTGGAAGGGACCTTAGAGATCATTTTGTCCAACCGTCAACCTAACTGACAAAAATAGACACCCACACAACAAACAAGGAGCATCATCACTAAACCATACCTCCCAGCACTACATCAACCCGTCTTTTGAACACCTCCAGGGATGGTGCCTCAACCACATCCCTGAGCAGCCCATTCCAATGTCTGATAACCCTTTCAGTGAAAAAATTTTTCCTAATATCCAGCCTGAACCCTCCCGCCTGCCCTTAACAAAGATGGCGGCGGGAGGCGTTCGCGTGTCGCAGGCAAGGGTCGCCGCCGTGACGCGTTTTAGTTCCGGGTGAGCGCCAGCCGGCGCCATATTGTCTTGTCGGTGAAGACGAGGAGCGAAAGAGGGGAGAAGGCGGCCGCCGGGCGGTAGCAGCGGCAGCGCCGGGAGGCGGGGGAGCGTGTAAGTAGCGGGGCAGGCTGCGCTCGCCAGCGCTCCCGGGGGCCGGCGGGTGTCGAGCGGACCCCATCTTCCCCTTCGCTCCTCCTCCTCCCCCAGCCGAGCCGGGCCGGGCCGGGGGGGCGTTGG